TCATACACTCATACACATAAAAATAAATACATAAATAAAAGAATCAAAAATTGGTAAGTCAATGTGACTACACAAAGTGAACCTAAGTACATAACCTGATATAAGTACTTTATATTCACAAAGATATACTCAAGCTCTAAAACATCAACCAGCATGATTATCTCAGCTTTGGTGCCAGATGGACCTATGTTTCAATTTTCGCCCTACCTTTACTAAGATCTGTGTCTTTAGGCAAATTGTATGAACCCAAATGAACCTGTGGGTCAAGCACCTTGAGCTATCCTAATGTCAAAGGCTTAAACGTATGTAAGTAGTGGCTGTTCATTACTGACTGGCACAATACCACCTTGTACATTTGCAATAGTTGAACATGTCTGTGAAATCTTTAATCTCTCAATAGATCCCACTGCTGGACAAATAAAATAGAACTCTACAGTACTGGTGAGGGTACTGAAAAAAATTGGTGAAGTTAAGAGTTTTAGTCCTGTGCCGGGCATGGTGGCTCACGTCTTTAGTCCCAGCACTCGGGAGGCAGGCACATCTCTGTGAGTTCCAGGCCAGCTGGGCTACGGGGAGAACCTGTCTCAAAAAAGAAAAAAGGAAAAGAGCTCTAGTCCTGTAACAACACAGTCTAACCCCAAGTGGGAAATTGGTTTCTTTCTCTTCTGTACAGCAGGGATGGTCTTAGTCAATCACCCAGATAATGTAATAATATAACCACTCAATAAACAGAAGCTACTGTTGTGGTTCAAACAAGAGACTTATCAGGTGCTTCTAAGAGAATTATCAGGACTGAAACTTTGGCCACTGTGTTCTTACTGTATGTACACAGTCAGCTCCAAGTCACCTTTTACTCACAATCTAACCTCACCTTTCTCCTGTAAGCACTTCCTAGGTTTAGTCTATTATCACTCACACAGATACACTGATACTTTCTAATATATGATCATGGTGTCTTCTTTTTTTCAATGTGAGTTCAAGTTCTACAGTATTCAAGAAAATTGTAGTCCAGAAAGAATTATAGTAAAAAACTAACAAACAACTGATCTATTGCTTGGAACCCTTTTGCTCTTTTTTTTTCTTTCACATTTATGGGGCTGGAGAGCTGGCTCAGTGAAAAGCACTGGCTGCTCTTGCAGAAGACTTGGGTTCAATTCCCAGTATCCACATGGCAGCTAACAATCATTCATGACTCCAGTTCCAGGGGATCCACTGTCCTCTTATGACTTCCATTGGCACTGCCTACAAGGGTGTACTTATATACATGCAAGCAATACCCTCATACACACAAAATAAAAATAATAATAAAATATTTTTTAAACTATATTTATTTAGTGTACTTTCTTAAAAATTTTAAGAATATCTGGGCTGGTCCGACGCATGGTGGCACACACCTTCAATCCCAGCACTTGGAAAACTGAAGTAGGTGGGTCTGTCCAGGTTCTGTAAGAGCAGATCCTGCATGTTAAAGAACTCTGCTCCCACTATCGGGGACAGCTACTAACAGTCTCCTTGGCTACTCAAGAATCAGCACAGTTCTCAGGCAGGCTGGAGGAATCAGAGAGGAAGACCGAAGGATGCCCCGGTCCTCAAAGAGGTGTCAGAAACTCCCACTTCTGCCATGTTGGCTCTGACTCCTCTCTTCAGAGCCTCCACAACTTCTCCCTCACATGCTGTCTATGTCTTGTGCTGGGGCCAGAGCTCTCCCCAGAATCTCATCATGCTGTCATGTATCTGTCCTTCGTGATGTCAATAACTCTTTAAAAAATTATTTTATTTCAATACTGTCAGACCAAACTCCAAGCTTTCCACTTTCTTTCCTTTATGGAAACCTGATTGGATTTTAAAAACCTTGAAGTGTCAGACCTGGTGGTGTCACGCCATCTCCAATGAAGCCTGCATGAGATCCTCCGTGGGTTGAGGCTGGAACTTCAAGGAAGGTTGCCTCTTGGAATTGGCTGTGCTAAAAAACATGCAGTGTACTTGGCATGCTTTTACTTGCTATTATCTTTCTGACTGTCACTGTATCATGATCCTTGCCCACTCTCTCGAGGACCCTGTTCCCGTCGGACTGAACTGCCCCGGTGGCACACACCTTCAATCCCAGCACTTGGAAAACTGAAGTAGGTGGGTCTCTGTGAGACTGAGGTCAGCCTGGTCTACATAGCAAGCTCTAGGCCACCTGGGGCTACAAGGAGACCCTGTCTCAAACAAACAAACAAACAAACAAAAACAAAACAGAACACTCTGAACTGAATGACTTCTCACAGGACGTCTCATTCATTGTGGGTCCACACACACCTGAGGCTGGACTGCTGCTGACCACAGACCCACAGGCCCTGCCTGGGAAGGGAACAAGCCTTTCCCTTTAGAAGCCCAACATCACCTCTGACAAGATGCAGAAAATTTCCCCCTTTCAACAGGACATGTAATTTCACTTCCTTACTCTGCAACACCAATCTTGTCAGCAAAGATGGAAGATGAAAAAAATGGAGTCAGGCATCAATTCATTGATTAGCAAAAGGTTTAAAGGCCATTAATTACTCATATTCCCTCATATGGATGCTAACTGCTTCACAGCGATCACCATGTCGCCCTGGATGGCCTAAAACTCACTATGTGGACCAGGTTAGTTCCAAATGTACACAGATCCACCTGCTTTTCCTGATTACAGCCATGCACCACTGTGCATGGTCAGTTTCACTTTTAAAATGATTTTAAAAAAAAAACCAAAACTCATGTATGCTGGGCATGGTGGCACACACCTTAAATCCCAGCACTTCGGAGGCAGAGGCAGGTGGATCTCTGTGAGAATGAGACCAGCCTGGTCTACATAGGGAGTTCCAGGACAGCTGAGGCTACAGGGAAACCCTGTCTCAAAAAGACCAAAAAAA